AAATTTGTTTATAATTGAGGCCATCTCTGCCAGGCAACAGTAATTACAGCGTCTACACGACATGAGCTGGAGCCACAGGCCCGGCATAAAGAATCTGGCACATATCAGCGGGGGGAACAACAAACACAATGTTGTCACCCAAGGGACACTTCCATTACGTGACAAAAGTGACTAGGTAATTTGATTTACTGTTTATTTAGGCAACCTCTGTCAGACTGCAGCAATGGGGGAGTGGGGGGGGGGGGTGCATGGAGATTGACTACTAATGAGAATGCTGACCTGCCGGGGTTACAGTTTTTTTTTAAAACAATTTGCGCTGCCATTAAGTTGGAGATATTAGTTGCTTATAATGTGCAATGTCCATTGCTGATTTTCATACATATCAGGTGCAGGAAGATAAGCGCCTCAGGGAGTGACAACTCCCTAGTCCTGGATAGCAAAGGCAACTAAAACAGCAGTTTGTGCGTGTCTAAAGAAAGGAGAGACCGTTTTTTGTAGCAGTGAGACAAAGAGAAGAATACCTTTAAAACCTGATGTTTCTGTCATGAGGTTGGATCTTGGGGAGGACTCAATCGCGGAGATATGAAGTTTGAAGGGTTTATTTTAACAAAAACACACTCAATGGAGTGGATGATCAGACAAGGCTGTGAAAAGACTATGAACAAAGTAACAAAGCAAGATTAAACATGACTGTGAAAAAACATGGCTGTGACAAAACTATGAACAAAGTATCAAATCAAGATTAAACCTGACTGTGAAAAAACATGGCTGTGACAAAACTATGAACAAAGTATCAAATCAAGATTAAACATGACTGTGAAAAACATGGCTATGACAAAAACGGTAAACAAGGCTATGGCATGGCTGTGACAAAATCATGGCTATGGCGAAGTGCAAAAAATCAAAACCTTACATGACGTGGGGAGACGAAAGACAAAAACACACTGGCACAGGACATGGGAAACGAGGACTATTTAAATACATGAGGTAGGGGAACCCCAGGTGTACACAATAAGTAATCAACACATGACAAGACAGTTTTGTTACAATAAATCTGTATCCTAAATGTGACAGAGATTTCATTACCAGACGCATTAGCTCTGTATTAAATGGCAAAGTGTGAGCGTGTGGTTAAAGATCTATATATAAGCACGTGGGCATTAAAGAGATTTTCTTCCTTCTAGTTCTGTGAGGCGCTGTCTGTAATTGATACCATCAAAAGCTTCTTGTGCTTTTGCCTCTATACCAAGTAAGGATCTATAAAAGTCCAACCATAAGAAATAGATACAAAGAAAGAGGGGAAAAAAGTAAAAGAAATTGAAAATAACATAACATCTCATGTTTTGCACTCGAAACAAAATGAATTACAAAAGCAAGTTTGTTTTGCTGTTCTATATTATCAAAGTTTACACCCAGACTTACTAATACATTGCAAGATTTTTCTCTCATAAATCTTTGATCTCCATTTGGTATATGTTCTTTTAAGGTGGGAAAAACAAATCATCAGGATTACGCAACAGCCTCAACTCCAACTCTCCAAGACTATAGTTTAAAAAATCTGAAGAATGCAACACTGTTATGGATAACTGTACAATTATGCTGGAAATATTCAACATTCACAATGTTTTTTTTTTATTTTGATCTAATCTCATATTTTGAAATCCTAGTATAGATGAAGTAATACATACATGATTACATGTGATGGGTTTGTTTGTCCATATATTCCGAAATGCAGCTGTATGTTTGTGAAGGGATGTAATCTTTTTTCCTGTTGTTTTGTATCAGAATGTCTTTAGACCAGATGATGCCAACCTTTAGGCATGCGTCTGCTGATATCCAACCTGTAAGCATGGATTCTTTTTACACCCAATCAGACCCTAACCAAAGGTCAGTTGCAGCAAGTTGAAAATTTCCCTGCAGAGTATAGGTTGGAATTTGTGAAAGTCCACTGTGTAACATCAACCTCTACCCTCACCTACGTGCTTGTAAGTATTTTCTAACATGTTATAAATGTGCAAAATACATCTAGTATCAGTTTCTGCTGATGCAAGACTAAGGAACTGCTGTTAAGTTCAATTTTGGAAAATATTAATTGATATCCTTAAAGGTTTCTTATCATCCAGAAATTAAACATATTGCAACCACAAGCTCAATATGTGCATTTGTTACGCTCTTGAGAGCTCATTAAATAATTGCCACATTTAGTTGTAGACCGTTATGATGCATTACAGAATTAGACAGTGTTGACCACAATCACTGAGCAGCTCCATTTGCATTCACAGTCAAGTGAAGTCAAGTGGAGCCGAATCACGACGTTGACTCACGCATGCCAATGCCACAACGCTGTGATCAGTGCAAAAAAATAAACACTCAAGCTTTGTCCTTGGCAGATCATCGTTCGTGAAGGCTTAGCCAAGTTTACTTCACAAACGTTGTCTTTAAAGCTATCCTAAAGTCAGTCTAATTTTGTCATTGACATTATGGCTTCAATTCAGAATTTAAAGCAGAGCATTGTCTGCTTACGCCCAAATCTTTGGATGGGAGAAACTTTACTGGGCAAACATCTGTTATAATTTACAGTTAAGTGGAGTTTTGGGTGTGTTAGTCTGTCTTTCAAAAGCTTTGATTGGTAATAATTGGGTTATTTAAACAATACAATTTGTCAGTGTTTTTTTTTTTAACCCTGCAGAGTTACCAGCTGCTTCCTTGACTAAAACAATTTCAGGTACTGTACATATGCATATTTAAGACAAAACCTCAATGACTGATGACTGATGCAAAACCTTTCCGAAAAATCTGCTTTACTGATAAAGCGAGAATGCACTGTCTCTGGACCAGGCATGTTTTTCGACATAGATTCGAGCAGCCTTCCTTGTTCTTATCATCAAACATTAAAATCTTGCAGATGGGAGGTTTGGTATTTCGATTGATCATCTTCTGAACAGGTAATTCAAGGAGAGGGAAATCTGAAGGATTATGAGAATGACAAGCATTTTACTTCTACTTCATGGTCTCTATCTTTTTTTAAGGTTTCTGCCATTTTGGGTGCACATTCAATGCAAAGCTGTAATTGCGGAAGATAATCATGATGTGCCCAGAGTCCAGCCCAATCGACTAATACTAAACAACAAGAAACATTTTTTTTATTTAGGCTAAATACTTTAACATGGTAAGAAAAAAATAAGATATCAAAAGCTTGCAAGTTTGGTTTGTAGGGATTTGCAAAAGGCAAATTGACAATCCATTCAGGGTATGAATCTTCTCTCCCGCATTTATTTTTAAATAAAGAATCACAACTATACAGCAATATTTATAAAAATATATTTCACAAAGTAGGAAACAATACAGGGTATCTTAGATTACAGTACAGGGAGTAAATAATTGAACATACACATTTATAAGCATTAAAGCACAGTAGAAAATATGATCTGCATGTAGGACTATTCCATATATATTGATTAGTCTACTGAGAACTGCCATAATACTGTATCCGTACAAACTGAGTATGCACGCAGCTGTAGTGCCATTGAAATTGTCATTATGTGCAAGAGCTAACGTGCAGAGACAAAACCTACCACCTCATTGAAAGCTAATGACGTTAGCGGTAACTCTATGTACAGTACAATTCTTTTTTCTTATTATTATTGTTATTGGTATCATACAGTGTAAGCACAATATGCACATGGTCTCGATTAGTGTTCTCGTTTTTCTCGGGCTGATGCAATCTGTGTTTCCTAAATGGGGTTGGATGTTTGGAGGGAGTCACATACATGGGTTTCAATTGGACCATTGTGCTCGGAAGCTAACTGGCTGCACCTCAGAACATAATATAAACTGTTTTTTTTTTACACAGAATTAGCACATGTAATAAAGGTCCGGTCCCACAGTCCCAATTAATTAGTTAATCTGTCTTGTTTGAGTTCTTGTTTAGCCTGTCTGCATCTAGTCTACATCACCAACTGCATGAAATCCATGATATGGTTTGGCTATAAGAAATAGTGTTCAAGAGGTTGAAAAAAGCTGAATGTGAAATAATCTAAGCACGCTCACTTCAAAATCAGCACAGAAAAATTACTTAAGGACAGATATACAAAAACTGATAGAACAGTAATGAAGAATCAACACATCTCTTGTCAAAAAACAGTAGATTACAATTGTATTTAATGTTGCTTCTGTAAAAAGAAGGCCTCAGAGTTTCTACATTTCTCTTTTTTGTCTTTATATCAGTCTTTTATAGGCTAGTAACACTTGCGACCCACACCTGTAGCATGTAAATACAAAGAGTTGTATAAAGCAAGCCCCACTGGGCTTTGGATAGTTTATAAATGTGGCCACCAGAGAACATATCAAATTATGACAAATTCACTTTAAAGCCAATACTGCTTTGTCCTTTCGCCTCTGTTTCTTTTTTTCTCCCCGAAACCACATACATTCATCTTTGTAATGTAGACCATGTATTGCTTTTTCATTTCAACTTTGTTTCCCCTTTACCGTTCACCCCTGGTGGCTTAGGGAGACGAATGAGGAGTCCACTCTCCACTCTCCGTACGTCCGGCTTGGTGTCTATGGTATCATGGAGTATGGTGTCCGTTCAAGCTTCAGAGATCCCAACGACACCCGTTCATTGGGCCACTACCAGATGTGGCAGTTTTTTCTTCCTGCTACTGGCAGTCACAGTAAATGACTAACACCCAAAATACTGCTAGACACTCCACAACGGAATCTAAGTTACACTCCACAAGAATCATAGATCTCCTAATAAAGACATTGTTTGGCTCGACGATTACAATGCGCTTGACGTAGTGGATGATAACTGCTATACCTCACTCTAAAAAGAATACAAAAAGGTGGCCTCTCTTACTAACAGTTCTTTTTTTTTTTTCCTTTTCAATAACAGTTTCTAAAAGCCAGCGATCCCCTAGCGTTTAATACACAAATATGAGGACAGAAAAAAACAAAACAAAAAAATTCAAAAGTCACTTTTTCTAACAAATCAAAGGTCAGGTCTCCCGGTCGCTTTCGCCCACAGAGTAGAGCTCCCCAAGTCTCCTGAAGCGCGGCCCCCACTCTCTGAGATAGTCATAGTTCTGGTCCGAGTCCGACGACGCCGTCTCCAGGGAGCTGAGGGAGCCGGCGACGGACCCCCGGCCCTCGTATCCGTAGATCTGGATGGAGTCGTAAGGCGGCGCCGTGGGGTCGTTGTCCGCCTCATGCAGCCGGACGTTTATGAACTCGTCCACGTCCACGCCGTTCGGGCCCGAGTGCTGGCCCGCCCGGGGCATGAACTGCAGGTCGGGCTTGATGTCCTTACGCGGCAGGTAGCCGTTGATGCCGTCCGGGTTCTGCAGCGTGGCGATGTCGAACGCTTCCGTGTCCTCCTCGCCCCCTCCTTCGTCGTCGTATCGGATGATATTCTCTCGGACGTCTTCGTCGTCCTTGATGATAAGGGGCTCGTTCTTATGTCGCCTCAGGGTCACAAATAGTACTACTATTACTATCAAAAAGAAAGATGGGGTTGGTGGGGGGTGGGGGACAGAAAGAGATCTCGGTCAAGCTTTAAACAGGTGACATTTCTGTGCAGTGACAGTAGGGTATTGGTCAAGGTTCGATTCAAAAGACAGTAACAACCTCATCAACTCACCCAGCAGTAGTATAATGCAGGCCAGGATGGCAATGAGAGCTCCCATACTTAGCCCGATGGGTAAAACGTAGGCTTCCACATTGCAAGACTGGACGATTCCGTCTTTGCTGCACCCGCACACTCTGATGGTCAAGGTGTTGGTGCTACTCATCGGCGGATTCCCGTTGTCAGTCACGATGATGGGCAGGAAGTACATCTCCTGTTTCTGTCGTCGGAAGGTATCGTGCTTGGCCAAAACGCTGATCGAATTGTCTGTTGAACAGATGTAAAGTCAGAGATTAGTTATGGCAAAGGGGGTGTCTGAAAAGACAATTATTATTTAGGGTGGGCTGTGGTGGATGCTTCTACTACCACCACCAAGTGTTAAAACTACAAACCAGCTGGAGGTGGAAGCCTTGGAACTCACCATTTTTCAAAAGACTAAAGGGGGGAACTTTATTTTTTGGGGGTTGACTAAGTAATTTTGTCATTTTAATATTTACTTACTTGTATTAAGTTAAAGATGCTTTATTTGTTACGTTTTGTGGTTTTGGTTTTGGTTTGTTCCTCCCTCATGTGGGAAAGTCTGTCCATGCCTTGGTTCTTTGTCAGGAGGTCAGTTTTGCTTGTGCTTTATTACTGTTCAGTTGACTTCAGATGAGTTGGGCCCAAAGCTAAGTTACTAATTATTTGAGTTATTTTGCATTGATATTTGACCTTATGTCCACCATTTCGATATCATTATTTTGAGGTTTTTCACATTTTTGGAACATCTTTGGTCCTTGTTTAAATCTGGTTCCTTACATGGGCGATAGACTGAAATCCTATTAATAAAACAGCGTGAATATTAGTGCACCGTGAGGGTAAACTCATTTCGTATCAATCACCATGAAAAAAATTGGCAATTTTTTTGCGTTCGGTTACGATGATTTCAGACAGCCGCGTTTGCTGTCCATCTTTTGAAAAATCAGAGCAAATGAGGGGACCGCGGCAGGCGACACTGGCTAGGAATATGTGGCACATGTCGACCCAGAAAGGTACCAGCTGCTCTTTGATGACACTTCTGTGAAGCTGTCTGCTCATTAGCCGGAGCTCCTTACCCTGCTCACATTATCAAACACTCGCATTTTCCCATAAGAATCTACTCCTGGTGATCTTATTGAAAATGTACAAGATGCCTGATAGTCTAACCTTTGCTCGATGGCTTGAGAGCGCACTGAAGAAAGACGGAAAATTAAAAAAAACGCGCTCTGGATACAGACGAGGGGCTGCGATGAAACTTTGGTACCGACTGAGAAAACTTAATCAAAAGATGAAATGCTTTGTGATAGAATCACTTGCTTTGCACAATCTGTAATTGATGTGAACATATGTTCAGATTTTCTTTCTTACGAATGCTGCCACTAAGTGGTACGCTCCGCCTTGTGAGCACCAACATGTCTTACATCGTTTGGATCATTCGGCAGCGGTATGCTGACAATCCCAAGTATGGGCTTCCCCTTTATTAAACTATCAAGACATATCCTTGTGTACGGGTCAGTCTCATTTATTGGCTAATGTCTGGGATAGAAATAGAATGAAGCATTTCCTGCCGAGCTACAAAAGGAGTTCCATCCTCAACGAGCGGGACAGATGTATAGATAACAGACCAGGACTCATTGGTATGAGTTATATTTTGCTTTATATATCAGACCCCATAAATAGTGTTTGATCCGCTGACTACTGAGTTCAGACTGACGCTGTGTACATTGAAATATTAACTGTCACCCTTGTCAAAGGCAGACGCTTTGTTAAATCAAGATTCTGGCTATAAATAACTCAGTATGTGGGAGGCTACAAATGACAACAATGACACTGAAACATCTGAGGTGTCTCAAGATTATGTGGGTTGCTAAACACTGCGGCATTCACAGTTAGAAAAAAGGGGGTAGAGTTTTCGTGCCTCACAAAGACAGATGAGAAGTTTTCAAACTAATGGACAACGCTCCAACCGCTTAGCCTATTTTGCGTCTTAATGTGCAAGTGCGGTGTCCTGGTTAGCACTATCATCTCACAGCAAAAAGATTCCGGGTGCAAGTCCCTGGGGGAACCAGGACCTTTCTATGTGGAGTTTGCATATTCTCCCTGTGTCTGCTTGGGTGTCTTAGGGTTCTTTGGCTTCCTCCCACCATCCAAAAACCTGCATGTTAGGTTGATTGGACATTCCGAATTGCCCTTAGGAGTGACTGTGCTTAATTGTTCGTCTTGTCCTTGTGTGTCTCTGTGTGGCCCTGTGATGGACTGGCGGACCATCCAGGGTATACCCTGCCTCTAGCCCATTGACTACCGGGATAGGCTCCTGTCCTAGTTTGGGAATAAGTGGGTGCAAAAATGTATGTATGTATGCACAAATAGTGCTTACAGGTGATGGTATGAACAACCAGATCCAAACATATCAAAATAAATATTTTGCCAAACAGCTCTTGCGTTACATGTCAAATCCCAGTGTTATAAACTGGCTTCCATGAAATCCATTACATTGAATGAGCCATTTTTTTTTATCCAACTCCATCACAGATCAATAGATAGATCGCCTGAATGTAAAGTTAATTGCCAAGGAATTTTGATGTGAAGAAAAAAATGGGGGAAGTGTGACGCTGAGATTGGGCTCTTGAGATGTTAGACGAGCTACACAACACCTCCGAAAAACAGATTAATGATTGATGGGTTGAAGAGTGAACTCAATCATCTTGAACCAGAGTTGTCGACCCTAGACACCAAACTTTGAGTTGGTGGTTAGACCTGTCCAGGCAAACATCTCTCTCTCTCTTGCTATTGAAGGATTTCGTCAATGTTATCCCATTGGTGTTTTGGTTTTTGGTTGGAGAACTCAGGGCTGGGAATTTGTGGCTCTTCAGTGTACCAAATGAGTGCATAGATAGATAGATAGATAGATAGATAGATAGATAGATAGATAGATAGATAGATAGATAGATAGATAGATAGATAGATAGATAATTTTCAAAGTTAATACTCAGGGGACAAAACATCCTTTGTAAAGTCAGTCAAAACCTTGGCTATTTTCCCCATGGTAGGCAACCCTTAACCTCTTCACTGTGCAATCCCTACAATTAGACTCATCATCACAAACAAAAGCTGTGCAAAGAGGCTCACAGAGACCCTGGTGCTCTTCACTGAAGTGTCTCCCACAGCTGCCGATTCAGACAGAAACATTGGTTGAAGTGCTAGGGGATACGGTGTGACGAGCGCTTTCTCTCTCTTTGAAATGAACAACATTATAGACAAGTGTGGCATGCGATGTATTTCACGGAGCGGCACCACAACACATATTTACTGTGGTTTCAGGCAAGTGAGGAAAAACGAAGGCTCTTTGTTCTTGGGTCTAATGCATGGCTGTTTTTTTTTGGGTTGTAGAGCATTTCTAGTGGGCGTTCTGCGAATTTTGGTCTTCTGTGGAACCTATTTCATTTTCTGTCAAAAAGAGGGTCATGCCCTAAAAACCTGCATGTTTTATACATGTTGAGACTGATTTTTAGATTAAAAACCTTATTATTATTTTATTTTAGTGCCGAGTCTGTACTAAGACAACCATCACTTCTGGCTCACTATTGTTACATCTGACAGTAATTATTTTCTTTTCTTTCACATATCAGATGGTCTCGATGTGTCAAAAGATAAATGATATATTGTCCGGGCTATTTTTGCATTTCCTGTGATTACACTGACTTTTCATGTTCAAGCCTGCGATTATCTGTTTCAAAAGTAAAATCTTTTTATTTTTCTGCAGAGGTAGCAAGTCTACTTTAAGACCTGATTTCTATATATTTTCCTCTTGCAGTAAGTCAGTCTGCAGCATCAACATTGAAACAGAAGGCTAGGACCATATGAAGATATTTTTTGCCCCAAGCTGAAAACATTGCATAACATTATGTTGAACACAGTTTGTTCGGAGCCAGTAGTGGAAAGGAAGAAGAAGAAGAACATGAAGAATGTACTACAGACAAGAGGCAATGGCAAATGAACGAGCCAGAAATATTTAACTTAATACATTAATACATTTCGGACCATCTGCCAGGATGAAACAGCTCCTAGGAAGTCACCCTACATTGAGCTGCAAGACTACCACGAAAAGCCATTTGGATTGCAGTCATTTAGCTTCCCCATCAAAATGCACAGAGGAAGAAAAAGAAGGTGGTGTCCAGACAGTTTCACATCTGCTAACTGTGAGCTACACTGATCCACCACATTTCATCTCTAGTTCCACTTACACGCCCCGGGTTAGAGACAAGACTCGGAGGCCATTAAAAGAATTCAGAGAAACTTCAGTCATTCTGTCACAGAAAAGAAAAAAAATAAACTTGCATCCAATGAATTAATTTCCTTTTTTTTTACCTTGGTTGTTTTTGATGGTGAAGTTTGGGTTGTTGAGCATCTCGGGGACTAGACGATAGTCAAAATAGTGGCCTTGGATTGGGTCATCTTTATCGACAGCGCTGACGGTCTGGATCACCTGTGTTGAACACAGAGACGGTAAAGACAAACAGAGGTGGACTCAGAGACATTAGAAAAAGCCCATTTGTTACCATGTTTTTGCCACCACGGAGTGCCCACAGTGAAATATTGTCTGGATCACACCAGATGAAATATCTGCCCTAATCATTCCTGGAGTTTGAGATTATTATCAATGAGGTCCTGTCTAGTCTGGCACACTTTCAGGCTCCTGGCTCTATCTGTTAATCTGTCATCATAGTTCTTATCACACTATATGTCTTTATGATTGATTGGAAATTAGAATGCAGTCCCTGCGGGAAAGTTTTTTCCTTTTTTTTTTTCTCCCTCCTTTCAATAAAGCTCCCTATTGTACATATGCGAGTCCCCTAAACGAGGTCGATTGATGAGAAGGAGAATGCTAAGTACTTGTCCAGGATTTTTGGCCAGGAAAAGCATTGTGCCATCTGGAGGAAGACATGAAAGACGGTCTTGAATTATGATCCACTCTGATCAATCCTGACTGCTCTCATTTCCCCTTTGCTCTGCTCACACTGTGGCAGGAGAGGAGTGTTTCAGAGAAAAAAGGACTGCACTCCCACCTCTGTGGTTTCTCGCTGAAATAAATAGGCTATAATTCATTGTGGCCAGTCATTACAGCGGAAGCGTGAGAGAAAGGGAGAGGGATAGACAGTAAGAAAGTGACAGATCACTCCTTTGATGAATGAGTCATTTCTTTCCCTTACCTGTCCAGGCTTTCCATTTTCACACAGAAAGGCCTCATATTCGGTGGCAAATTCAGGGGCATTGTCATTAATGTCCATTACTCTGATGGCCACAATCGCCCTCGATATCTGACTGTGGTTTTCTAAGATAGATAGATAGATAGATAGATAGATAGATAGATAGATAGATAGA